AGAGAGACAAAGACAAAGACACAAGGAGAGAGAGAGAAGGAATCTCTCTTGGGGCATGGTCATGCTGCAATCCCTTTTTTATTTTTTTCTCTTTAAATTTATTTATTTTTTACATTAATTCACTATACATCATTACAGCATACAGATGAATTTTCCATCCAAAATACACTGTGTATTGGCTCAATCAAGCACATCAACATACATGTTATCAGCAAATAATTTTCCAATTCTTATGTCTTGCAATCCCTTTTTCATTTCTTTCTCTTTTCAGAATTTTGGGCACATACGCGTGCCCAGTGTGTTTCTCAAGCTGCCAGGTCCAGGACTAGAACCATGCTGATGGCTATATGGGATCCAGCCTCCTTAACTACCAGGCCATGGGCTGGCCTGATGTGTTCCTCTTTAATTTCATTTTTTTTTTCCTTTCAACAACTTTGAATGCAACCAGTTCTGTTATTTTGATGGTTATTGTAGGCCTTTTAACATGCGTATTATACTTATATCTAATAAATATTGGGTTGTTAGGAAAGTCATGGCACATTTTTGCATAGAAAAATATGTCATGACTTTCCTAACAACCCAATATTTATTAGATATAAGTATAATAGAGAGGTTTTTGCTATAGGGCGCCTGCGCTCGCCAGACAGACAGAGAGAGACATAGAGACAGAAAGCGAGAAAGCACCCCCCCAGGGGGGATGGTCAAGCCACAATCCCCTCTCCTCCATTCTCTTCTCAGGATCCTGGGCACGCATGCACTCGCGCCCAGCGTGAGTTCCAAGCCACCAGGTCCGGGATGCGAACCGCGGTCGACCACGTGGGAGTCCAGCGACACTAACTGCTGGTTCCCTATCTTTGCCTTTTTTGACACCATGGAAATAACTTAGATTGTTTTGAGTTCAATTACTTCCCTTCTAGCTTTTATGCTATTATTTTTCAACATTAAAGCTTTACCTTTATTTTAATACCACAATATGAACACTGTGATGTTGTTTTATAAAATGTTTACTTAGATTGATCCAAATGTTGCCATTTTTTTTACGTACCTCTTTGTCTTCTACCTCATGAATTCCTTCTAGAGTCATTTTTGAGTTATTGTCATTTTGAACTACATTTTTCACATGTTCCTTTAGAGAGAATTTGTTGACATTTATTTTTTTAGGTTTTGATTTCTCTTAAATATCTTTCTCTCAAATTCGATCAAATTTTGACCTAATCCTTGAAAGACACTTTCATTAGATACATAATTCTCAAGTGACAAGCTTGCTTTAATCAGTACTTTAAAGAAATGGTCATCCTTTCTTTGGTTTACATAACTGTAATTGGAAAGTAACTTTTTCTTTTCTATGGTGTGCTTGCAGTTTCTCTTTGATGTATTTTGATGTGGATTTCTTTCTATTTATCATAGTTGGAATTTACTGTAATTCTGAAACTGATAATTTACATCGTTATACACTCTGGAAAGTTGTTAGACATTTCTCTTAATATTGCCTTTCCTTGAGTCTCTATGATAATTTTCTAAGAATCGTAAACTTTCTCACCTATTCTTACTGGTTTTATTTTCCAAATTCTGATCTCTCTTTCTGTGAGGAAGTCTATGCAATTTTTTCAGGGTTTTATTATAAAGTACTAAGAACTCTTCTGCTTTGTGTATTCTACTCACTCATTTAAAAATTTTAAATTCATTTCATTTAAAATTTAAATTAAATTTTAAATTTTAATATATTTTAATTTCTTTTTATTGAGGATTTCTGTTTGTTTATTTTGCCTTAGGGCACATGAGTTCACCAGAGGGAGACAGAGACAATGAGAAGGAAAGTGAAAAATTCCCCCCCCCCCCCCCGAGAAGGACCAGAGCCCCCGAGGATGGCCATGCTACAATCCCTTCTCCACCATTCTCCTCCTGGAAACTTGGGCACACGTGCACACACACCTGGTGTGATTTTGAAGCCACTGGGTCCAGGTCTTGAACTGTAGTTGACTATGTTGGAGTCCAGCAATGTAGCTGCTATGCCATCTGCTAGTCTCAATATTTTTTATTTCTTAAAATTCTATTTGGTTATGTTTCAAATACCTCTAGTTATATTTTATAGGGTTTTATTTATTTTGGGGGGAGGTGAATACTTTTTTTTTTTGGAGAGATTTTTGCTATAGGGCGCGTGAGCTCGCCAGACAGACAGAGACATAGAGACAGAAAGTGAGAAATCACCCCCCGGGGGGATGGTCATGCCGCAATCCCTTCTCCTCCGTTCTCCTCTCAGGATCTTGGGCACCCACGCACATGTGCCCGGCGTGAGTTTTAAGCCACCGGGTCTGGGACGCAAACTGCGGTAGACTACGTGGGAGTCCAGCAACATAGCCATTACGCTAACTGCTGGTTCTCGGGGGTGAATACTTCTAAAACACTTATATTTCTTTGAACACATCAACCATTTTCATTTTCTGATTCATTTAGGAGCCAAATTTGCTGTTATTTCTGTGGACTCATGCTTATAATGGCTTATTTCTTGGTAGTTTTTGTTTGTTGTTTTTAGTGGAAGGGTGGTGAATTAGAGAGAGAACAGGTATTTTAGACAGAATTTTACCATGTCACAATCTTTGTGCCTAGTCTCTTAATTGTCTAGGATTACAAACAAATATTGCCCTGAACTTAGGTCAATTTAGGAACCAAACCCAGGTCTTCCATGTGGCTCCAACATTATACAGCACTGCCTTACCAACTTACCAACTGTACCTTCTTGGTTAGGCCTATTAGTAATTTTTTTTTTTTTGAGATTTGTTTGCTATAGGGCGCATGCCCGCGCCAGAGAGACAGAAAGCGAGAAATCACCCCCCAGGGGGGGATGGCCACGCTGCAATCCCTTCTCCTCCATTCTTCTCTCAGGATCTTGGGCACGCATGCACATGCGCCCGGCATGAGTTTTAAGCCACCAGGTCCGGAATGCGAACCGCGGTCGACTACATGGGAATCCAGTAACATAGCCATTACACTAACTGCTGGTCTCATTAGTAATTTTAATTGTGAATTCATTTATAGAAAATTTTCAGGAGACTTCAGTTTAATTTGTGATGCTCCAGAGAGAATTTGAGTTTGCCTCTGCCAGTTGCCTGGGTCACTATCAAATTTAAAATGAATAATCCTCTTGGGATTTTTAGAATTTTCTAATTTAGTTTGCAGAACCACTTTTTTTCTTATCTTTTAAAAAAGTTTATTTATTCATTTATTGATTCCATAAATGAGAAAGACAGAAAGAGAAGCAGGAAGACGACACCTCAAGAGGGTCTTATACCACAATCTACTCCCAGGTTGAGCTACCCCTAGGTCGTAGGCACATGCATGTCCAGTGGATTAAATAGGTTTTCTGGATATGAACCTGAAACTCTTCCATATGGTTTAGCCTTGCAGAACATCTTGTTTTACTTTGGTGCCACCGTCCAGTCCCAAACATACTTATTTTTTCTAGTAATAAAGTTTCTGCTGGATCCACCTGGTGGCATGATGGTTAAGGCACTGGACTCCCACATGCCCCACAGCAGTTTGAGAATGGGACCCATGCTGGGTTTGTGAGTGTGTGCCCAAAATTCTAGGAGAAGTATGGAGAAGAAGGGATTATGGCGTGGCCTCTCCCTGGGGGAATGATTTCTCACTTTCCCTCTCACTGTCTTTCTCTGTTTCCATCAAGTATATGTGCCCTATGGCAAACAACAAAAGCATAAAAACAAACAAAAAACCTAAAACAAAACAAAACAAAACATAACATAAAAAACCCTTTGCTAAGGGCCAGCCCTTGGCATGATGCTAGATGCCACATGGCCAAACATGCAGTTCGAGTCTTGGATCTGGTGGCTTGGAAAACATTCTGGAAGTGTGTGCATGCCCAAAATTCCTAAGGAAAGAGAGATAGTGGAAAGAGATTGTGACGTGACCACACCTAGCGGAAGATACTTTCTGCTCTCACTGTCTCTGGTGAGCACTTGTGCCCTCTGGCAAAATTAAAAAAAAAAAAATCTCTGCTTAGATTTCTTGCAGTGGAGTGATGTTTTTCTTTTCTAATTATTATTATTTTTTCTTTACTTTGATAAGGATATAAACTTTTGGATATACGGATGTAGGAAGAGGTTTTCCTGTTAGACATTCAAACTTGGACAAAATTCATACTTTGTCTCTGGTCATCTGCAGCTATCAGTTCTGACTGTCAGAATTGAGCCTGAAAACACCAAATGCGGTCAACTACTGACATCAGAGCTCACTTCATTCTCTGGATTATTTATCCTTAATTCTTCACTTCTAAAAATAGAGCTTATGTCCTCTTAATTTAGCACTCTTTCTCTAATAATTATGTAATATAATTATAGTTAGATAAAAGTATATAAACTATACTGTTATAGCTAGCATTATTTTGCTCTTCCTACTTGGAGACTTTTCAGAGTGTCTAGTTTATAATACTATTAGAAATTAATACTTATTCTCTAAGGTTTAAATAGCCTTTTATATTTCTATATCAACTTAATTTTTCATTTAACAATATATTCAGTCATCTTTCCATTAGTATGAATATTTTTGCCTCTATTTAAAAAATGCTACACAGTATTAAATACTATGGATAAGATGGAGGGAGGGAGGAGAATGGGGGGAAAAGGCAATACTTTTAATCGACATAAAAAAGAAAAGTTAATTGCTGATGATAATATATGGTAATGTCTATCTTGACTGATATGCACCATATTCTTGCTGAGAAAAAGCAATGTTGTATACATTGTAAAGATATATAGTGATCAAATGTAAATAAAAAAATAAAATTAAAATTAATACTATGGGTAAATTGTTGTTTAACAAGTCCCTACTGATAAATATTTAAGTTTTCAGTTTTTTGTTTTTATTAGAAAATTAACATATTTATGTTGACATATTTGTATATCTAGATTTAATCGATAGAATTGTTGGGTCAAAAGTTATGATTCTGAAATTTTATGTTTATTTTCAAATTGTTTTTCAGAGTTTACAACAACTAATTTGAGAGAGAAAGAGAAAATCAGTGTGCCAGTATTCCCACTGCCTTTTCTACATTGGCCTACGAGCACAATATTATAATTTGAGGAGTAGTTTGTTTCTTAACTTTACTATAGTAAATCTCCATGGAGATTTAAAATATTACAAAAGCATGCATGGGGTGCTTTTAATAGACATTTTTTTATGCTGGATGAGGAATTGATTGGAGTCAAATATAGTGAAATATAATCTGTCAGGGCCATGCCATTAGATCTCTCATCTGACTGTGAGTGTTCTAACTGTTTGGACGGTTCTCAGAATGAGTCTGATGAGAATCCCTGTTCCAATGAGAGTGATAATGACTCTTTATATTCAAGATCAAGATCAAGGAAGAAACCCATGCATTCTTCCAGCAAGCAATATCTTCCTTCTCAATGTTTTCCTGTCTGGTCAGAACAAGAAAACAAAGAATACCCAGAGTTTCCAACTTCAGAGGGGGAAAGAGATGTGGGCTCCTCTCAAAACAACCATTTTAGTCTGAGTCCTGAGGAGATTGCTAAGAAAATGAGACCATTGAGAGAGCTGACTATCCAAGAGTTGCTGAGTGAGTTTGGGGATAGTGGGAAGTTCCAACCAAACTCCATGTCTCTGGCCTACTTTAGAGATCAGGTGGTTAGAAAGTTCAGAAGAGCTCTGTATTATTCTGGAATTTGGGTGACATATGTTGAAGGATACAAAACTAAAAAACATTTTTCAGCTAAACATTTCAAAAGAAATCCTGGTTGCCTACACCGGCTGGTCCCTTGGCTGAAACGGGAACTAACAGCTGTTTATGGAGATTATGGCTACACGGTAAAGAGTATCCTAGCCACCATCCTCCATCACATGACAGAATATGATTTGGACAGTGAGTCCTTTGTTCATCTCCTGGAACCTTATCTCCTGCAACACACCCACCATTTCCTGCATGAGTTTATCAGTTTTGTTCATTCACCTTACAATATGGAGACCTATGACCAGCGAGCCATCTATCAATGTTCTGCTGCTTCACCACGAGTCAAACAGAAGTCCATTGCATCAGCTCCTGCTTTATCTTTGCCTAAGGATCATGCTCTACTGATAGCTCACCATGGTGCAAAGCAGTCTAAAAATACTCAGGGTCAATGGAATAGTGAGGAGAGGCTTCTGTCAGGCTTAAAACAGTTTCCAAATGGTAATTCTTCCTTGAAGAAATCTGAAATCCCACCAGTTCATCTCAAAAAGGTAAGCAAAAGGCACATTGGGATCAAAGACAAGGCAGAATTGTGTAGTCACAGAGGCATAATTTCTACTGATAATATGCTCCTGAATTGGGCTACCCTGCAGGAAAGGGACCCACGCTTACTGAATCATGAAAAAAATACTCAAGAGAAAAAGACAAAAGGGATAAAGTTGCTTCCTGGTCATGTCCAGGATCTGCCAAAAAGTGAAACAACGGCACGTACCTTCAGTACCCCAGACATTTCAAATCAGGCACAACCATGTAAGTACAATCTAAGAGAAAGGGCCGCTTTGAGCCCTGACCAGAAGAAAAATTTTGAGGAAAAGGAAGTAGAAAAAAGCAAACACTCAGATTCTTCACAAAAGATCTTCCAAAGCTTGCCCAGAGAAAGATCCTTGATTAACTGCAAATCCATAAAGAGGAATTCCTCTTGGAGTTGCATGTCAGAAAATACCCTTTCTCCTAAGAGAAATGGCAGGAAGCCAAGTTCTTTTAGAAAGAATAGACTGGAGTGCTGGCAGTCCTCCCAATTTGAGGAAGTTGGTTCACATACCAGTAGAAGACTCCGAAGACAATCTAGGTCCACTCCTCACAGATCCAAATCCTGCTGTTTTGAACTTAGATCTGTAAGCAGAGAATCAAGCATTTTGTCTCTGAGAGGAAGTCACAGAAGTGAAGAACTTACCCAGAAGGTATTCTGTGAGCCCTCTAAAGAAAAACACATGCATAGCAATGAGTCAAATTATAGGAGGACATCTTCAAACACAGCGCAATACACAAATCTTTCTTCAACTACTGGGAAAAGGCCCAAGTATCTTTCTAGGGAAGAAAGTGTGTCCCAAGCCAGATGTCACTGGAACAGTCCCGCATGTCGACAGGTTGAGGAACAAGGACCCTCAAGTAAACAAGCGATGAAACAAAAAATCCTATTTCCTAGAGCTAGAAGAATCAGAGCAGTTAAGAAAAAAAAATGCCAGTGTCCAGATACACAAACCACCGAGGAAGACAGTGATGAATTGGGAGATCCTGATGATACAGAGCAAATGAATAGTCTTTCTGAAAGTGCACCCTCCTGCAAGAAGCAAAACCCAAAAAACCCTCAGAATTCAAATCTTCAGAAACATCACTGGGCCAAGAATGAACACAAGGAAACATAATACCAGAAACACAGAGGTGCAAATCGTTTTGAAAGGCAAATCAGCCCACTTACCTAGCCACCAAGGAACTTTGAAAATATAATCTAAAAACATTATTGAAAAGATTTATCATATCACTTTGTAACTGGAACTTAAAGCCTAATGGTTAAAGCTCCTTTTGGAGACACATGTGTATTATTAAATTGGTCATATAGATAAATATTCTTCTGCTCCTTTTTTTATAAACTAAATTCTTTAATGTATGTTACTTAACACAAGAGGATGTTATTAAACAGAAGTGTTATTTTCAAAAATAATATATATTGAGGTCTGTCATGTTCCAGGCCTAATCTATTTTTTCAGTTCCTGGTAAACAGGACAGGTTCACCATCTTAAGATATAGTCATTGCTTTCAAGGATTTCATGGTCTAGTTATTTAGATAAATGTAAATAAATAGGTACAAGTGAACATCCATGGGATTTCTTTCCCCTGTTTTCAGCTTCATGTATTGTAACATATTAGTTGCCCCTACACCCTGGCATCTAAATATCTTCATGGGAAGCTGCCACATTTTCAGATAACTGACTTCACACCCTTAGTAACCTGGTCCAGTGAGGGCAGCTATACCTTAACCAAGCTAATCCCAGTTCTTTGTCCATTAAGTCACACAATCGACAAGTCTCACGGTGACCAAATTACAGTATACCCTGGATTTTTCAAATAGATTCTGAGAAAGAGGGTCATTCTCTCATCTTTGGTGCCAGATGGTGAAAGATGTAAAGTTTGGGCACCTTAAGGCTATATTTCTTAATCTGTGGAAAAAGCCTATAGTCAGAGAAAAACAAGATGAGAGGAGAGTCCTGAGAGCAGGAACTGGTTCTTCTAGAATTTGAGCTGTCATTCTGCCCTTCTGTTGTTTTTATCCTTTTAAACCTTTCCTTAAGTTTTGTGAGTTAATAGATTTCCTCTACGCCTTCCTTATTAAATTAGGATTTTCAGTCACAATCAAGCCATTCACTGAGAAGTGTCACGATCGACATCAGCAACAACTCTCTTGGGAAGGTTTTTTAGGGCTTTCTGAAGAAGTGAAGAGAGAGTAAGAGTTTTCCAAGTGAAATTGTGGGTAAGAGCTACCAAGAAAAATGGGTCATTTGTAGAAAATGAAGAAAAATTTAAATGTCCATTACTCCCCTTCTAGTCTATCTGGGAAATCCCGAGCGATACACTGAAAATAGAAGGTGACAACAAATTGTAACTAAGAATGAAACCAGACTGTCCTGAATCTACAGCAGCTGAAAAGTACTTCAAGGTAGCACAGGATCTGGGCCAGTCCCTGACATGGTGGCCAAAGAGACTGGATCCTACCATGCCTGACCTTGTGGTTGAAGTTCTGAACCTGGCAGCTTGAGAATCATGGCAGGCACTTGTGCATACATGCCCCAAATCCCACACACAGAGAAAGAAATGAAGGAGAAGAGGATTGCAGTGTGACTTCTTCCCCACCCCAGTGTGTGCTCACTTTCTCTCTCCCTCCCCCCTCCTTCCAGCGAGTGTATGTGCCTTCTAGCAAATTTTTCCAAAAATGGTGGAGTGATAGGACTCAACATTTATTATTTATAAATTATTTTACTCTTACAACAAGAGTATAAGGTTGCTTTAATTATGCCCAAGTTCTCAGTGAGGAAAATGAGTTTCAAAGAGGTTGAATTATAACAGTCAACAAACCTGAGAGTCAAACTAACTGCTTATGCTTTGAGTTTTTATAGCTTACAACGGTTGACTGAGTTTTAAAATCTTAACTCACCCATACTTGCGACCCTTAATCATCTAGTCTTCTCTGCTACTGAGAGTATTATTTCACTCAAATATAACATAAGCACCCAGATGCCAAAAGGTCACTTCTACTTATTTGTAAGGATAAAATCCAATTCCTTGTTCCCAAGTTCACCATGACTTGTCCTTTTGGTGCTAATGGAGTTCATCTCAACCAGCTGGGATGAGGCAGGTGACTGATTTACAACACACGTGCTTCAGATTGCACAGTATCTTTCACGGCGTGTGAGTCAGCTACAATCTTAGAGTACCAACACCAGTTTTCATCACTGTCCTTGACTCACTAGTGCTCTTTGGGCTGATATTCCTTGAGTTATATTTCATCTATGTAACAAAAGCAGTTAGGGAAAAATGAGGTGTCTAATGATACTTGAGAGTCATTGTCAGGTGTGTATAAAACAGAATGAGTTATAAGCAATTATACCTTTCCATTGTACATCGTTTAACTAATGTGAATTTATCAATTCCCACAGTTGTTGCTTGGGAAAGGCTTTACATTCTACTCACTGGAATCATTACAGTATCTTCCTAATTGGTTTCCCTGCCTCTGGGTTCATGTCTCCAGATACTCATCCACACTGCTACAGTCACTCTAATACACAAATTTATGCATTTAATTTCCCTGCCTAAAATTCTCCATTGGTCCCTGTTGCACCAAGGTTAAACTGCAAATTATTTCAACATGCATATGAATACATTCTAATCTCAATCCATTTCTCTAATTTTTTGTCTTAGAGACAAAGGTACAAAAGATATGTATATATTTAGGTTATGTAAAGAACTGCTACATGTGCATACATAATTTCTTATCAATAGACTATATTGTAACTTAGAAAAAAACATTCCCTTCACAACCCGTATTTCAGTGTCTTTCATATAGTAATTGTTCAATAAACATATTTCCTGTAATTGCTTTTAATTGGTCTGTATCATTGATCTGTATGATCCTGGATAAACTAACTCCTCTGTAATTCACTTTTTAAATGAAATGGATTAGTTCATTTTTAAAAATAACTTACCTGACGTTCTGTATGTCATTGCCTTGTATTTGAACTTTCCTCACATTTCTCTCACTTATTTAGCTTTTATCACAATGTTGGGGTTTATTGTGGATTTTAAATTATTTACTGGCCTGTGATATGATTTGTATTTGGTAATACTTTGTAAGAGAACCTCTATTTTTTCTTCAATTTCTTTTCCTTTACTTTTCTTAACATTCCAGAGGGCACCTGCACTTATTGGACAGAGAGAGAGAGAGAGAGAGAGAGAGAGAGAGAGCAATTCCTTTGGGAATGGCCACACTACAACCCATCTCCACCATCCCCCCCCCTTTTTGGGGGAAGGAATCTTTTTTTTTTTTGGAGAGGTTTTTGCTATAGGGCATGTGCGCTCACCAGAGAGACAGAGAGAGACAGAGAGAAAGCAAGAAATCACCCCCCGGGGGGAATGGCTATGCCACAATCCCTTCTCCTCCATTCTCCTCTTGGGATCTTAGGCACACACGCACACGCTCCTGGTGTGAGTTTTAAGCCACCGGGTACGGAACGCGAACCATGGTCGACTACGTGGGAGTCCAGCGACATAGCCATTACGCTAACTGCTGGTCCGGAGGACAGAATCTTACACATGCATGTACAAACATCTGGTGTGTTTCTGAAGTCACTAGGTCTGGGACTAAAACCATTCGGTTGACCATGTGGGATCCAGCCACCTTAACCACCACACTATAAGCTGGAACTCAATTTCTAAAAGTCTATGCTTCTTTAGTTATTGATTTAATGTAGTTAAGTAGTCACATCAAAGTGACTAGTGAAATACTGAAAGCAAGAAATTGTACAACTAAGTAGTAATAATGAATTTTGACACATTATTCAGTTACTAGAAATAAAATTTTATTGTTTTGCCTGGAAATGCTGTCATGTACAGTTTTGCCTCGTTGACATACATCTTATTAATGTGAATTATAAAGTACATGAATGCACGTAGCTTCAACAGCTTCAATAATGTTATAATTATGGAACTGCATAGTAGGTGTCATAACAAACACATACGTTATAAATATTTTTATATTTATCAGGAACTCAGAAGCATACATTAAATAAATATAGAATCTTGATGTTAGAACAAGCCAGGTACAGGTGCAGTAGCCTAACTGATTATGCCCATTAATGATCAACTTCTCCTCTACCCAACCCTCTAAGTCTCTTCTAGTCTCTACGGCAACACATTCTTTGCTTTCCCCACCCCCTACTCCCCAAATTTAACAATACTAGTAGAATGTCAGTTCTCAATCAGCCATTTCATGCTGTCAGCCTCGCTTGCAAATTTCTTTGCTCCACTGTAATTTAGAGTCACTTACTTTCTAGAATCCATTCAAAAGATATCTTCTCTCTGAAAGCCTACTTGATATTTTCCTAACTAGTAAACTGTTAGAAATAAATAATTACTTCCTTTGTGCTGCAAACCTCTATGGTAATACCAACCATGCTTATTTTGCTTATACTTATCTTACATGTCTGAGTCTACTCTCCCCTTTTCCTGCTTCAAGAACAAGAGCTTCTTTAACATGAAGGCCAGCCTGGCACATACTAAGTGCTTAGCAAATGCTAAATGGATATATATATAAGAGTGAGAAATCACACCCCAGGGGGGATGGCCACGCCGCAATCCTTTCTCCTCCATTCTCCTCTCAGGAACTTGGGCACGCACGCACATGCACCCATTGTGAGTTTAAGTCACTGGGTCCGGGACTCGAAGTGTAGTCAACTACGTGGGAGTCCAGCAGCATAGCCATTACGCCAACTGCTGGTCCCTGGATAAATAAATATTTAAAAATTGAATTAAGTCAGCTCAGTGGTTGTAAGAGCCACCCTGAGGAAATAATAACTTAAATAGAGCCCCTACTATGAAAGCTGATGTGATGCATTTCTAGCACTCTTTCATATTACCACCTAAAGTCTGTTAACTTTGCCCAGGTAAAGACCAAGGAGATTCTAAAGGCTACCCTTAGATAAATAATCACTCATGTGTTAATATAAAAGACTCTATATGCTATATCAAGACACTTGCTACTTGTTAGAAATTTACATTCAGAGGTGTTAAGCCACATCTGAATCTGCATTTTAATACTGTCCCCCAGTGATTCATATGTCTAATATTTGGAGTGTCATTTCTTTAAAGTAACAGTTAGAAGATTAAACTACAGCTAGAAATTATTTTACCCAAATTTTAAAATACAAGTCTGCTATCTGATAGTAACCAATAGTGGTAACTAACATAAATAAGATTTTAGGTTAAACAAAAGAAAATGAGACTGACAGAATCTAATTAATGTATTGAAGTAG